GCAGGCTGCTGTGTCCAGGTGGAGGAGAGCTGCTGGTGGCTGCTGTTTGACCGTCCTGGCTCATCTTCATTAGTGCTGTTTGATTGGGCATGAAGGTGTTCCTGTGCTGTCACAAGATAAAGAGCATCGCCTCAGGAGCTCAGCCGCAGGACAGTCTACTGCACTGCCCACTGCCTGCGCAAAACACCAGAGCTTTATACACATACATGGCTATATAACACAGTATTATACTGAATAATTATAAAATCTGCTTTATAACTTCATTATTGCAGGCTATACAACACAATAATGACACCTGAACATCTGTGTTACAGATCTGTATCTATGCCTCTATTATAGGCTATACACAGCACCATTATTACATCTACATTAAAATATTAATATTACAGGCAATACAAGTATAACATGTGCATTACACTTTCAATTATAGGCTATCATGTTTCAGGCATTATAAAATTACTATAACAGACTATATTCAGCAAAATTACATCATTGCATTGTACCATTGGATGCATATAACAGAGTTATAGCATCTGTATTACAACATTATTATTACAGGAAATATACAACAGAAATGCTAGACTCTGGATTCTAGCAATGCTGTTACAGGATTCATACAGTAATATACAGCAGACATATAATACCTGCATTTTGGCTGTTACATGCTATATGGAGCACAGTTATTATATCTACATTATAGCATCACTATTATGGGCTATATATGGCACAATTGTAACATACACATTATAACATCTCTATAACAGGCTGTATATATCAGCTTTATAGCATCTGCATTATAGAATGCTTCACAGGCTATATGTAGCACAATTCTAATATCTGCATTATAACATTACTGTTACAGGACATTTACAGTATAAATGTAACATCTACATTCTAACAATATTATTACAGGATTCATACAGCAGAGTTATAGCATCTGCAATGTAACATTGCTATAACAGGCTATTAATGGCACAGCTATAACATTATTACTATTACAGGCCACATAAAGCACAATTCTAAATCTGCATTGATAAATTACTATTACAGGCTTTTTATAGCACAATTATAACATCTGCATTAAACATGTCACTCAGGCTACACACAGCAAAATTATTACATCTGCAATATATTATTACTACTACAGGGTAAATATAGCACTATAACATTAATATTACAGGCTATAAATGGCAATATACCACAGAAATATAAAATTCTAGCAATATTACAGTCAACATAACACATACTTTATAACATTTGTAGTACATGTTATCCACGGCACAATTGTGACATCTGCTTTATCACATTACTACTACAGGCTACACAGCACAATTATAATATCTGCATTCTAACAATACTATTACAAGCTACACACGTCAATTATAATATTGCATTATTACTATTACAGGCTATATACAGCAAAATTATAACATCTGTGTGAATCACTATTATCACTATAATCACTGGCTATATATTTCACAACTGTAACATCTACACAAAAACAATATTGTTATAGGCTATTAAGTGCACATTTATAACGTCTGTATAAAATCACTATTACAAGCTGTATATTTCACAATTGTAACATCTACACAAAAACAATATTGTTATAGGCTGTTAAATGCACATTTATAACGTCTGTATAAAACACTATTACAAGCTGTATATTTCACAATTATAACATCTACACAAAAACAATATTATTAAATGCTACTAAGTGCACATTTATAACATCTGCATAAAAACATTACTATTACAGACTATTAACCACAACTTTATAACATCTGTATAAAATCAGTATTACAGGCTATGTACTTCACAATTCTAACACATGCATAAAAACATTACTAATTCAGGCTATTAAAAGCAAAACTCTAACATCTGTGTGGAATCATTATTACAGGCTATATACTTTATCTATCACTCTATCATTATAACATGATACTTACAGCACAGTAATAATAACTGATTTATAACACCACTCATCATTATGGGCTAGGTACAACACATGCATAACATTAATTTTACAGGCCATATGAAGCACAATTCTAACATCAGCAATACAGCATCGCTACAACAAGCATACAACTGTGACATATGCTTTATAACATTGCTATTACAGGCTATAACAACACAGTTATAACGTTGTGGTTGTAATATTACTAATATTATATTATTTTGACTATAACAATACCTTTACATGCTACAGTCATGTGCAAAAGTTTGGGCACCCTTGGTCACATTATATGTGGTGTTGATGTTCTTAGTGAAAATATGTCAACACACCCTCAACAGAGAACACACTTACATGACATTTTCAGTAGATTTTGGTGCACAGTTTCTATTTACTTGAGTTTAACATATTAAAAAATGTAATATTACAGAGGGTGTTCAAACTTTTGCATATATGACTGCATATGTAGCGCAGTTGAAAAATCTGCATTTTAACGTCACTCTTACAGGCTATTCACAGCACAGGTATGGCACTTGCATTATAATATTTGCTTATGTTTTATCTTTTAGTTTTACTTGGGATATGTTTGTACAGTTTTGATTTATTGCATTATCACTAATATATTTGCTATTGTTTTAAAAAAAATCCATTACTGTATTTGAATTGCATTATTTATTCCTGTTTTCTCTGATTTTATTCTTTATTTATTCTTTGCATTTCATTTATTACCCAATCCCAAGCACTCTTTTTATTTCTATTGATCTTTTTTATGTGTGTTTATTTGTGTGAAAAAATTTTTTGTGTGTTTATTTTTGTTGGATGAATTTATGACATATAGAACACATTTTAATATAATTACAAAAATATTACCTTTTACTAATTAAACAATGGCACAGCTCTCACTGTCCATATTTGAAATGCAAATTAATCTATAAAGTACTTTAATTAATGCAGGGTAAATCTTACAGCACCAAACACAATGCTAGACATTAATACTGAGTAATAACATAAATGTTGTCATAGGAGACTTTAATGAGATTTTTATGCAAATACACGAGCACCGCTGACACTCCTTAAAGCCTCTGAATTAGGGCACATTACATAATGCCTGTAGATGTATTAGAGGCAGTGAGTCCTGCTTAAATACATCCTGGTGAAAAGTGACATTAAACCACGTGCTCGCTGAGTTTGAACGCACAGTACAAATGCGGCCACTGGGTGGCGCTTCAAGTCCATCAATGGTAAAACTGCGCTTCCACTGATCTTGTAGATCTGACTGAAGAGGAATCAAATCCAGTTTAAGTCTGAATTTTAAAGCACGTGGCAAAGATGCAACGTATCAAAGTAACTTGAGATATTCTCTAATTATTACTTGAATTTAGTGCAGAAGTAGGAACTAATTAGTCAATTAATATCTAATTAATAACTTCAGACGCACAGGACTGAACGTTGACCATGAATAGCATATGATTTAGCTAAATTCATCAAAACCTACGGTTAAAATAATAACAAAAATGATATGCATAATTATAAGGGAGAAACACAGCTGGACAGTGACGTCACTTTTATCACTCTGAATAAGCCAAATTATGTTTAAAACGAGACGAGACAAAAAAACGTCTATGAACGAGAAAAATACAGTTTATTGTGAATTTTTTAAAATATACACCTTATTATTCTCCTCCAAAAGGAAATCTTCAGCATCAGCACACAATGACAGCAAATGCAGAAGTTCAGTCTGATATAGTAAGCAGAATCAAACAGTTTGACGCAAAATCAGTGAAAAATTCCAAGTATAAGGAGCTTTTAAACCATTTATATTCATATATTTCCTCACTAAACAGTAGACACTTAAAAAAGATGGTTCTTCAAGGGTTCTTTCGCAAAGGGAATGGTTCTATTTAGATACATTATACGTTTCATGCTTAAATGGTTCTTTGCCTGGTGAAATGCTTCTTCAGACTGATAAAGAGAGTGTTGTATATGGTTCTCCATAGCACCAAAAAGGGTTCTTCTATGGTTACAACCTTGACATCGAGACAATAGAAGAACCCTTTGTGGTGCTATGTAGAACCATTTTCAAAAAGGTTCTATATGGAACCATATACACAACATTCTCCATCAATCTGAAGAAGCCAAACAACCATTTAAGCATGAAATGGCTCTATATAGAACTCAGGGTTCTTTTTGAAAATTGTTCTGTATAGCATTACAAAGGGCTCTTCTACTGTCTCGATGTCAAGCTTGTAAACATAGAAGAGCTCTTTTTGGTACTATAGAGTCCCAAATGGTTGTGTATATGGCTCCATATAAAACTGTTTTAGAAACTGGTTCTGTATAGCACCACAAAAGATTCTTCTATTGTCTCGATGTCAAGCTTGTAACCATAAAGGAACCCTTTTTGGTGCTATAGAGAACCATATACAACACATTCTCGATCAGTGTGAAGAACCATTTCATCATCATCACCATTTAAGCATGAAATGGTTCTATATATAACTCATGGTTCTAAATAGAACCATTGCACTTTTCTAAAGAAGCCTTGAAGAACCGTTTTTAAGTGTGTAAAATATGTGACAGAAAGCTTAAATGTGGAGCTTTGAACATCCCTAACCATCACTCTTACACTTCTTGGGACAAAAGTACTTTGATTCAATAGTTACGCTTTTAAAAAGTTAAGATATTGATTTTCCAATGAGAGTCTAAACTTTTTGCGTCCAAAAACCAAAAGAGCGCGCATTCTTTCCAGTAGAAGATATGAAGCCTGTACAAGACATAACAGTTGCAATTCTAACTCAACTGATCGAGAATCTGTAGAGGAACCGATCAGATCAGGTGGGTGACGAGGGTCAGAATGAGGGTCTCCAAAACAGCGAGCAAACTAAGCGGAGCGTTTTACTGCCACGTTGAGTTGGAGCGTTCAAAGGCGATTGGATGGAGCGCTCGATCCCAATAGGGCGATATGAGGACGAGCATGAGGATCATGATGTAAAAGACCCCCCTCCTTCCTCCTCCTCTTCTTCTTGCCTCCTCCTCGTCGTCTCTTCTGCTGCTGCTGCTGATGGAGGAGGTGATGGGAGCGCTTTAGGAGGAGCTGCGCCTCCAGCCCTTCACTCTGCCAGCGACGACCAACGTGCGCTTCGCATGAGCGAGACGTGAAGTAGCGCGAGGCTCGAGTCTCGGTTCCTCGGTTCCTTTCCCCCCCTTTCCTCCTCTTTTTCCTCTTCTCCTTTCCCCATAAAGACCACCCACGACTGTCTGGAGCCCCCATGGAGAGGAGGATGAGCTCCGGAGAGCTGTTCCCCAAGACCCTGAGCGCAGTGTCCAGCAGGAAGATGGACCCTTACCGCGTGGCACCGGGAGTCGAGCCCCTGTCGTCCAGCTGCTACGAAACAGGCGAGCCCGACCCGGCTGGAGGAGGCGGCGGAGGAGGCGGAAGAGGAGGAGGTGGCGGACCGTTGGGCTTACCGACCGGCTCCTTATGCGCGCGCTACGGAGACGGCAGCGCGAGCCGGACGCCGGCCGCCGAAAGCAGCGGAGGCGAACAAAGTCCGGACGACGACAGCGACGGCCGCTGCGACCTGATGTCCCGCGCGCCCTCGTGCGCCTCCTCCGCCATCGCCGCTTCGTCCGGCGCGCAGGGCAAGGCGCCCGAAGGGGGCAAGAAGAGCCGCGAGCAGAAGATGCTGCGCCTGAACATCAACGCGCGCGAGCGGCGGCGCATGCACGACCTGAACGACGCGCTGGACGAGCTGCGCGCGGTCATCCCGTACGCGCACAGCCCGTCCGTGCGCAAGCTCTCCAAGATCGCCACGCTGCTGCTCGCCAAGAACTACATCCTCATGCAGGCGCAGGCGCTCGAGGAGATGAGGAGGCTTGTGGCGTACCTCAACCAGGGCCAGCCCATGCCGGCCGCCCCTCTGCCTCCATCCGCTGCGGCCGCGGCAGCAGCCGCCGCAGCTGCCCTCGCCCCGGGCCTGGGATACGACCAGCCTCCGGCGTACCCCTTCCCTTCCGGAGCCGCGGCCGCAGCCGCCGCTGCTTCATCCTGCCCCGACAAGTGTGCCCTCTTCAACACGTCCAGCCTGTGCAAACAGTGCACGGACAAGCCTTAAAAATAGCCCCACGGACGGAGCGGCCAGCGCCGGACTCAAGTTTGCAAGCGTGTGGCTGCAACTCCTCACTCTCAGTTCTTACCAGTAGGCTGCAATTTCCTATGTTATGAATGGAGGTCAATGGAAGTGGGAAAGAATGCTAATGAAACTTTTTTCCAAATGACTCCATTCCTAGCAGTTTTTTTCTCTCTCTCTTGGTTCAGTGTATATAAAGAAGCCTGTATGTGCTGGTGAGAGTGAGTCTAAGACCAAATGAAGTCTATGAATGCTGAGAAATGGACGAATATGGCGAATCTATATGGACCCTTACAGACTGACAGCCATTGACCTGGCAACATGCAATCCATATCCTTTACCACACTTTGTTTTTGGCACATATTCTAGCTGCTCTTTCGTATTGAAGTGGATGTGGCAAATGGACTTTTCACTGACATTTGTCACAGAAGCTAGTCGTCTGAACGGTAATAACCATGCACTGAGAGTAGAAGGTGGAAAAGTTCACTTTGCTTTGGAGTCATTTAAGGTCTGTGAATGGAGTTCATTTGGTCTGCATGCGAGATTTCATTCTGCACAGTCTTTGCTGTAAATTTGGCCTTATTTGATTTGAATTATTTTGATTTATTTTTTATTTTGTTATTATTATTTAAGTCCCCAGTCCTACAGCAGGCTGTGGATGAGGTTTCTGCTTTTTTAGCTTGTTGTCAGGTCAAGATGGTGAGCACTGTAGATACATTCGTTCGAGTTTGAGTGCAGAGGGCCATTTGTATATTGTTGATGTACTGGACAAAGCTTTATTAAAATATTTTGATCAAGCTTAAAACCTTCGCCTGGTCGTGTGCTGAGTTTTGAGGGACTCGAGGCTGTTGTGTGAGCTGTGATGAAGAATTTGTTGCCTTTAAAAAATCTTTAAAAAGAAGCTAAACGATTTGACGCACTTGGTCTTCAAGTCACCAGGTTATTACCTTTTTTTAAGGCTTCCCTTTGTCCTCAGAGAGAAAACATTTCTTGTCCGTGCCTTAAAACGCACATTGAGAAGTTGCATTTTATGGATTATACTAATACAATTATAATCCAGTAGATTATAATCCAGTCATAATCTTCTGAATCAGAACGACGCTGAGAGCTCCAGAAAAAGGAGGAAGGCCACTGGTGCTCGTGGCGGGCAGCGGTGTGAAAGTGCTGTGCTTTTACGCAGCGAGGCGACCCCTGATTACGGCGCACGAGACAATTTCCATGACGGTGTGTAACGTGTTCATTTGAAAACAACCGTGTTCGAAACCTGTGGACTGCCGTGCGCGCGCTGCCTTAATGAAACACGTCGTTAAGGCAATTAAACCTTGCGGATGTGATTAAGGAAGATAATTACGAGGCTGTTCATGGCTGTAATTAGGGCTCTTTAATCACCTTTGCATTGTTCTGTCTCTGCTGTCCATCAATGGAACTGGAGCAGAAAGACCTGCCCTTATACACGATGTCACAAACAAACAAAAAAACCCCGAAATATTCCTGTATTATCAGGTATTTTCTGTTATAAAGTCTTACTGTTCAGTTCAGTTATTTAGTTTGAATACACGTGAAAAGCTTTTTGTTTAAAATAGTTCAGGAAATTTTTGTGAAAATTACATTTTTTTAAACAATAAAACAAGCAGACCTTAATAAATTCGTTAAAAACCCAACTATTACATATAATTATGAAGCCTAATTATTTATGTCTCTATATGTAATAATAATAATACTAACTACCTGTCTACACTACATATTTATTGTCACTATATATTAATTGTGTGTTTAACGTAATATGTCATTACTATTATTATTATTATATTATTATTATTATTATTATTATTATTTCAAGCAAGGCGATATTAAATATAGCGTCACTAAACGTTAAATTAAAAACACAAAATCGATACAAAAGCCCTCTTAAGTCAAAACTCTATTCTATTCTATTCTATTCTATTCATTTTCCCACGAACACGATTCTAACCAAAAACCTTCGTCTACATTTATTATGGTTGTGGTGGTTATTGTACTGAACTGCCTCTGTTTTATTCCCATTTAAATCGCGAACGGCGACTTCCAGAACTTGGACATTTAAAAAGTGACCAACATAAGCAGGAGAGAAAGATCGTGGGGGTTGTAGGTGATTGCAGGCCCACGACTTCATTACACACATTAAAGGCAGCATCTGACCGCGCACGCCTTTAGTGTTTAGTGGGTCACTTCAAATAAAACAGCAGAACTGTATATTTTTTATCACGTTTCACGATCAGCTTCCTCTTCGGCTTCAGTTCCGTTGCTTTAATTTTGGATGGTTTCATTTCAGCACCACGGACAGCTCCTTCTGTTTCAACGGGCTCATACACTGGTCAGTTAAAATACACTGGCTAGTCATTAGGCTGCTGTTGTTTACTGTTTTAAACTTTACAAACACAGTGAAATAGAGCCATTTAAGAAGTTAATGTCTTACTAATTTCATACCATTATCATTTATAAATGCTGACTAGCTGATATCAAAGTTTTCTTACAGCAGAGTCTCATGCAAAAGTTTAGGTACCCCAGTCAGGTGGTATGTTTTGTTGATTTTCTAAGAGAAAAGTTCTTTACAGAGAACAAACTTCTACACAGTTTAATACATGTACACTGTTTATTCCTCAATTTAATATTGGGGAAAAATAAAACATAAATTGTCCTGTGCAACATTATATTTTATGTTTTTTTTTTTCCAGTATAACTCACACTAAGAAATTGTGCATTAAAGTTTGCAGCAAGGATGTGTTAACAAAATCATCAAAGCGTGATTTGACCAGGGATGTTCAAACTTTTGCATAGGACTGTATAATGTCAATATAATTATTTAAAATCATGAAACAAATGTAAACAAATGAATTTGGTCAATAAGTAAATGATATTTCAATAAGCAATCATATCATATTTTCAATAATATCAATGCATGCAGCAGTATTGATGAACCGAAGTGTCCACAGTCAGTGTGAGTTAGAGATCCAGCAAACCTCGGTCAAACATCACTGCTCCCTCCTTCAGCGTTTTAATTATAGCTGTCTCTGTCACAACACAGCCATAACCCAGGCTGAGATCCTGCAGCCGCTTAACAGGGCAGTGCTCCACTTTCTCTAATGCGTCCACTCTGTTATTAGCCATTTAGACAACAGTGATATTACTCTGTCCTCTCTAATCCTGAGCACGGTGCAGATGCGAAGCCCAGCACTCGAGTCGTTAATCAGGGCCAACAGTAATCAGCCATCACTGGGCTCTGCTGGATAAATACTGTCAGCAATTACTGTTTGGAGTCAACTACTTTCAGAGTTTCCTCTTTTTTTCCTGTTCTTTCTCCCACGGTCACCTCCTCACCGCCACTCTGCTCATTCCAGTACCCTGGCATACCTCAACAGGAGCTATCAGTGTGGGACGATAAGAGATCATGAGAGTATTAATTATACATGGTGAAGAGATGTATTATTTAGCATGGCGATTAGCCCACGCCAAAGGGCTTCATTCTCCTGGGAGGCAAAACAGGACGAGCTGAGAGCAGCACAGGCTTTTAAAAGAGAAATTAAGGAGGTGATCAGAAGGATCTGTACGTTTGAAGCTTTTGTGCTTTTTGACTTCTTTCTTTTATACTCTTAAAAATAAAGGTGGCAACAAGGTTCCTTAGAAAACACAAAGATGATGAAATGAAAGACGGTTTGTTAGGAAATGTTTTTGTAAATGAGATATTTAAGTGTAGGGAGCATTTTAAAGTTCACGCTAATGTAAAGATTCTAGTCTTAAAATTCCATGAACAACCTTTTTTGGGGGGGAGGCTGTTATGTTCAGGTGTAGAGAACTTCTTTGAGGTTCTTTTTGAGGTTGAAGTTTAATGAAGCAAGGTTTTATACTATGAAGGCCCTACAATTAGAGTCTTAAGGTTCTTTAGTAAAGGCAACAGTCCATAAACAAGGATCGTTCTTTTTTTTTTTTAATTGCTCAGGTGTAGAGAACCTTTTTGAGGATGTTGAAGTTTCTTTTTGAGGTTGAAGTTTAATAAAGCAAAGTTTTATGCTATAAAAGTCCTACAAAAAAGGGGTTCTTAAGGGTTCTTTAGTACACCTTCGGGGTTTTTGGAAATGTTATGTTCAGGTGTAGAGAACCTTTTGGGGGTTCTTTTTGAGGTTATAGTTTAAAAGAGCAAGGTTTTATACTTCAAAGGCCCTGTAACCTTTAAAAAAGGGGGTTCCTAAGGGTTCTTTCGTAAAAGCAATAGTCCATAAACAAGGATTAGTTTAATAAAGAAAGGTTTTGTGCTATAAAGGCCCTACAAAAAAGGGGTTCTTAAGGGTTCTTTAGTACAGGCAACAGTCAGAAAGCAATGATGGTTCTTTTGTTGCATTTGTTTTTTGATAAAGGCACTACAACCTTAAAGGGAACCTTAAGGGTTCTTTCGTAAAGGCAACAGTCCATAAACAAGGATGGTTTTTTTTGTAACGGTCATGTTAAGGTGTAGAGAGCCTTTTTGAGGTTCTTTTTGAGGTTGAAGTTTAATAAAGCAAGGTTTTACACTACAAATCCTCACAAGCTTAAAAAGGGGGATTCCTGAGGGTTCTTTTCTGTTAAGGTGTAGCGAACCTTTTTGAGTATTTTTGAGGTTCTTTTTGAGGTTGAAGTTTAATAAAGCAATGTTTTATGCTATGAAGGCCCTACAAAGGGGGTTCTTCAGGGTACTTTAGTACAGGCAATAGTCAGTGAACAAGAATGGTTCTTTTTTGTTTTTTTATCCTTCATTTTTTTTGGATTTGTTATGTTTACATGTGGAGGATTTTGATGTTGAAATTTAATAAAGCAAGATTTTACACTATAAAGGCCCTGCAACCTTAAGAAAGGGGGTTCTTGAGGGTTCTTTAGCAAAGGCAACAGTTACAGTATATATATAATCACAACAACCCAGGACCCATTTGAATGAATGGCTTGAATGGTTCTGTGCATTGTAAAAGGCTCTTCTTCATGATCGAGAACATGGTCCTTTGAAGAATGGTTCTACCACTAAGCATAAAAAGGGGTTCTGCTACTGTAACAAATCCACAACTTTTTCATTAATACACCCTTTTTTGTAGGGTTGAAAATGACTGTTGCCTTGAAAATGAAGGTGCCAAAAAGGTTCTTTGGAGAAACGCTACAGAAGAACCACACTATTATTTGCTTCCCTTAAGAATATTTGAATGGATAGTTCTTTGAACAATTATTCCTGTGAAGTGTAAGGAACCTTTTCATAAGTTTTAAGAACCCTCACATAATGTAAAGGTTCTACCCTTATTCAAGATTCTCCCACACTTTCGACAATAAAGGAGCAAAAACTATGTGCAGTTCCTTAAAGAACCTTTCAGTGGGTGGTTATTCAAATGATCATTGTTGTGAATGAGATGTGTGGAGGTGAGAAAGCAAAAGACTGAAGAACCTTATACTCTTAATAATAAAGATGCCAGAAATGTTTTTTAGTTCTCTTTTGGTTCTCTAATAAACCTTTTAATGCATGGCTCTTTAAGGAATCATTTTGGTAAATGAGATGTATGAGTATGAAGATCTTTTGTATAGACCAAAGAACCTCCACATGATGTAATGGTTTTAGAAAGTACCTTTACATTGGTATAGAACCTTCACATTACCTGAAAGTTCTTTAAGAAACCTTCCAATGGATGAATTTTTAAGAAATCATTTTTGTAAATGAGGCTGAGTGTGAGTGTAAAGAACATTTCTAAGGACCAAAGAACCTCCACACAATATAATGGTTCTTGGAAGAAACCTTACATCGGTATAGAACCTTTA